GGGTGGGTCTGGGGGCGGGAAGTGGGAGGGGCAGGGGCGGGGCTAGGGCGGGGCTCCTCCCGTCCTCTTTTTTGCTTGCTGAAATATGGTAACCCTACTCAACAGCAGAACACAAAGACTCTTTAATCTTGGCAGATTGAGAGAGAAGAGGGTGGGGGCCATAGGAAAGAGCTAAAGGAGGGAGAAATTGGAGAAGCTTTGGGTGAAAGCCTAATACAATCAGCAATTCTAGCACACTGCTGGCACATGGCATGCTGAATCTTTATGTGCTTTGAAATATCTGGTGGCAAACTGCAATATAACTGCTTGGTGGTATTTAACCCATAGTAGCACCAACACAGCAGCCTGGCACCCCTCAAGTAAAGCCTGGACGAGCTGCTTGCAACATCACAAAATATTGTTTTGTTTTTCCTTACCATCAGATGGGGTGCAGAAGGAGGAAAGGCAGAATCATTCCCCTGTCTGGAGCCAGCTGGAGAGGAAGAAATGTCTTGGAGACAAGAGTCTGAACTAAGTGACCTGTCTGGGGAGGACTCTGTCTATCCAGAGATCTGTATGCAGTGTTGTAGCCATGTTGGTCTCTGGATTTAGAGAGACAAGGTGGGTGAGGTAATATCTTTTACTGGACCAGCTTCTATTGGTGGCAGAGATGAACTTTTAAGTTTACACAGAGAAGAACTCTGTAAGCTTGAAAGCTTCTCTCTCTCCAACAGAAGCTGATCCAGTAAAAGATACTCTCTCACGCATATTGTCTGTCTAATATGTAGAGATCTTACAGTCTGCAAATATTTTCAGGATTCAGTGGGACTGTCCATACTTGTAGTTACTCACAAGGGTATTTGCATGAGGGGGGGCCTAACATCCTGTGCCCATAAGTTAGCAACAACTTTTTCCAAAGCCAAAGAAAGAAATTATAGATTTGGTGTAGTGCAATAGTTAGAGAGGTCACAAAGGGGCACATATGGCCTATTAAATGAGCAATGCCTGCTACTTAAGGGGAAATGGCACCTGACTAGTAGCAAGAAAATAATTTTTAATGTTCATAGTAACTGAGACAGAGGAAACCAGGAAGATCAAGGATTCAGATGACAGAAAGCTGTATGTAAAAGTCAACAATTTCCATCACTTCCAATTTTATGATTGGACTGAAAGCTTTAAACAAAATAAATGCATAATTATATTTTTAATAAACCTTCTGAAAGTATAGTAGCAGATGTAACACCTGGGGTTTTCCCTATTATCCACTCAGTGTTCAACCTGGGAATTGATTATAAAGCCTTTGAACTTCTTTGTGTATGTTTGTCTGGTTTTTAAACACAGGGTTTTTCAGTTGCTCTGCATCTACTGTATACTTAATGCAATATTTTCTTGAATCCCCGGTAAAGATGCTGTAAATGTCAGATGTGTCAGAACAGACTCTGAAATGAATTAAATGTAATTCAAATTGTGCTTAAGACAAATTAATGTTAAAATGGAGCAATAAATACATATCAAATGTGGAATTATAAAAATATTGAACAATATGATAGAAGTATGTAATCATAATGTTTGTGAATTTCTATATCTCACTAATTGTTGTGTGGATGCATCAGGCAAGCATCTACGTTACCAAGTACAGTATATGCATATCTACCCTGCAGAAGCACCTGGCAGGTAAGTAGCAAAAATGAAAATGCAGATTAACAAGTCATCAAGCAAATATGTGACAAAGGGCACACAATCTCTTGCAGCTATGCTCAGTGAGGTGGGAAAAGGAAAGACGGTCAATGCAGTTCTACGCAATGGTACATAATATACAATGTCTCTCCAGTGTAGTGAAACTCCTTAAAATAAACCTAAACCCATCAAAGCACTTTAATGAACACAAACAGCAATGAGGTAAAGATAATGAGTTATAACTATGGAGCAGTGTTAAAGCAAGGTTTTATCTATTTTATGCACTTATATGACCCCTGTAGTATCTGAACACCTCACAAACTTTAATATATTTATCCTTATAACACCTCTCTGAGGTAGAGACTTGCTACTATTCCCATTTTACAGATGGGGAATTGAGGTAAAGCAAGGCTACATAACTCATCCAAGGTCACACAGGAAGTTTGAGGAAGAACAGGCAGTTAAGCCTAAGTCTCTCATCCTACACTAGTGCTCAAGCCCAGTGCCATCCTTCCTCTCTAGGATTTTACAGACAAAACACCTGATTCTGATCTCACTTATCCCACTATGAATTAGGAATAACTCTATGGAAATCAACAAAGTAACACCGAGTTCAGAATCAAGTGCACAAATTGTAAATGAAATCAATATTTTAAGACAACAAATTTACATATAGCCTAAAAATGAAGATGAACAAGAACAACCCCAAAATTCAGCTGATGGAAAATGCAAGCTAATTTTCAACAAACTATAATATAACTTTCCTGATCACAATAACTTAAGTACCCTATTGATGGAGCCAATATAGTTTAGGCTTAACCCTAGTTCAAAAATCTTCAACTGTCCCCAAACCTACTAGTATTATGATAGCTATCTGACAGGACATGCTTCTTGCTTATCACCAACAGGTTAAGCAAAGTAGTTCAAACTACTAGTAAAAAAACTATCCATTAAAACATACACAAGTTTGTTTTAGTCATTGTCCTTACTGTATCAACCCATGTTCCTGGATAACTACTGTCTTTATAACATTCCAGCAACTAGTTTCCCAAAATGGCTATATGGTATGTGTTATCTCAAGTAAACCCCACTCACATACACCAATAACAAATGGAATAATTATTTTCAGAGGGTTTTTTCTCTCTAAATTTTGTGTATGAAATTTTAGAAGTATAGTGAATAGGGCTGAGAACATTTGGATAGAGGGGCAGCAGACGGTGTTTCTTCATAGATTCCCAATAGCTGGTTGCTGTGAGAAATAAGAAGGCTGCATGAGCTAGGGGAAACTAAAGTGTTTTTCTTTAGTTTTCTGAAGGTTTTGTTGATGGTACAATATTAATAGAGTGAGGGTATGGAGGTTCCTATAAACATTTCTCTCTGGGTTGAGTGCCATATGTCTACTTAGCAACAGGATACAGCAAGTAGTACACAATTTCATAATTACATCATGCATGTTTTCTTGAGGAGATTCCAAAATGTCATTCTGTCTGTCCACTGGTGACTGAATATTGTAATAAGTATAGCTCAGATGGACTAAACTTTAGGATTTGGTCAATACAGTTTTGTTCTCTTACAAAGCATTATAGTCCTGCAAATCTCCACTGCTTGTCATCTTACTATGGTCAGATTCAGAACATTGCCACGTCCAATAAGTTAAGGAGGCTTACTTTTCCAGAGTTTCTAATGGAGTCGTATGAGACAGTCATTTTACCACTGGCTGTTTTCCTGGAGTCTATGCATTTTTTCCTCCATAAAGAACTCACATATTTTCTTTTTGGGGGTCATTGAATTATCCTGAATGAGAGGTAGGCTGTATTTGTCCTCCTGGATGGATCTGTCTCTACCCTGCTGACCATCAATGCACATCAAAAGTAGAGCTGGTTGGGATTCAGAGCAAGGGCTTGAACCTGAGTGCCTCAGCTACAAGGTGAGTGCCCTAACCATCAGGCCACTGGCTATTTTCCAATGGAAGGAGCTCTGCCTCTCTCTGATGTCTTTCTCATCCTGCTTCACCATTCCACCCAAGGTCTTAGTTTCCTAGATGACAGTTTGAATAGGAACAGGGACATCTCAGAAATCTTGAAAAGTTTTGCGGTATGGGAAATCTGCTTCCCATCCAGCTCTAATCAAGAGCTCCTCCAGTAGCAGTTTGTTTTTCTTTTTTTAACTTTGTCTGTGTTTGCCATTGGATCTTCACCTTCACTTAAATTCTGAATCTCTACATATTGTTAGCATCTTTTTCCAGGCCCATTACAGGAAAAACTCACCTTCCAGAGCTCCTTTTCAAGCATTCCCTTTTCAATTTGCAACTGCCTGAAGTATTAATTCTGTTTTGTCACACATCTTCTCTTTGACTTTCAACATCTTCACAGCACCTTTTTCTGTGTGTGCTTCCTTTGCACATGTATATTCCAAAAAACACTTTTTCCTTCCTTGGGTTTGAATTTGGTCATCTGGGACAGATACTATGCCAGAACTGGCTTTTCTTGCCCTATTTATGACATTCATTTCTGAAGGCTGAACAAGTTAAGTATCTTTCAGGGTAGCAATATGACACCACATATTCTACAATTGTTTTGAGACCCAATCTTCTTTCATGAGATTTGGTCCACTGAAACCGTAGACTCGTGTGCAGTTAGCAAACATATACAGCTGTACTTGGTTTTCCATGCTCAGGGCCTACAACTTTGCTGCTTCCATAGTTCATTGTACATCCAAAGTTCAGTGACATGTAAGCTGTGGCTCAGTAAGAGCTTGGTCAATGACCAATGTTGCAGTTTGCATGTTGATTTCACCATCCAAGATAGCAAACTGTCATGTGAATGCTGGCTGATGTTACCTGGTATAAACCTGGTCTATGTCTCACCTGGTTCTTGTGTCAAATGTCTGAAACCAAATGTTTTGTAAACTACATCAGTGGTCACAGTGAAAACACTAAGGGCTCCGTGAAAGGGGATCTTTATTTCTACTAGATGTATTGTTGAGAGGTTAACCACAGATGTCAATTGCCGCCTCCACCCACATCTTGTGTTATTTTGAATTTCCAGTTTCAAGTGCAGCCAAGAAATTTCTGAATCTGCTTGTCCATTTGTGGAATTGCTGAGCAACTGCTCCATCCCCATGGCTATTAAATGCAGCAAATAAAGGAAATGTCAATGCCGTGCTGCTTCTTTGTATTTTTAAGCTCTTCGTCATTAATTTTTCTTAGTTGTTCCTTTACCCTCAGTTCTTTCAGACGTATCTAACATATTGCTTTTTTCACTTTAGTTCTAGGTACCTCTTTTACTGTAGATTGTATGAGCTGGTCTCCTTAGCTAT